GATACGGATGGTCCATATCAATTATAAGAAAGCAATTAATAAAAAAAAAATATGATTAAAAAAACATCTTGAAATCTTGAATGCTTGAACCACCGAGAGTGTGCAAGTTACGTTTTCATGCATTTGTTTAGATCAAACACTAATATTTCATAGTGAAGGGGCGTTCGTTTTATTTTAATGCGCATGGAACTCATTTTAATTGCTTTAATTTATCAAGCAATATATTTCCCAATGTTTTGGGACAGCTATATGAAAGTGTTGTATGAAAACAGTGGTTATATCTTAACATTTATTGTCATATTCAGTGGAGGACGTCAGGGGTAGGTCCTATTTCTCTACATAGGAGGCACGGTAGTCTAGTGGTAGGACGCCGGGCTCGTGACCGAAGGGTGGCGGGTTCGAGTCACAGCACTGTGTTGTATTTTTGAGCAAGATACTTTACTCCGCTTGTTCCGGTCTACTCAGCTGTAAATGAGTACGTGGTTTGGCAGTGCTAGAATTGTAGAATGCTAGCTGTGAGCGCCGAAATGACAGCACCGGCTGTATACTCCGCAGGGAGGTGAGAAAGATATTGTCTGGTTGCAAAGGCCCTGTAATCACGGATAATAATTTGTGAACCGCTTTGAGACGACCTACGAACTAGGCTGTGATAAAGCGGTATATAAGAACCTCCAATTATTATTATTATTATATTATTTTAGTTGTGGAGCTAATGTGAGAAATGTGGCTCAACAATCAAGGGCTATATTTCCTACAGGGGAACACACGCACGTGATGACTTTGGCGGGTGTTCTGTATTGAGAGCAAACACGATGAAAAACCTTTGTTATTTCATAGTCCTGACCAAGCGTTGATGCTTTTTTCAGGTTGGTCAGAAATTGAAAATAGCCACCACAGCTACTTAATTTATTGATGAACTAATTCAAGTGTTAACTTTAGTTCTAATGAGCTAATTGAACGAATACTTCTAATTTGGGGATCTGCCATGCTTCTGGTGACTTGTTTTAATTTGCGCCTATCTATGTTTGATTATACAAAATAAATTAATCAAGTTCCGAGTCAAGTTTTGTATTACACCATAACACACACGTTTGAAAACTACTTATTGTTTATGTGATGTTGAGGCTCTTCCATGATACATTTTTAAGCTTGGCCGAATTCATGCATAATTCATATACATGTATATAAACTCAACTAATTTTACAAAAAATATGAAACAAGTTATTACAACTTATATCAACCACTATTGGGAAGAAACCGGAGTACCAGGAGAAAACCCACATGGTCGGGCAGGTAAACCCAACCTTTTCACGTCCGATCGGGGAAACGAACCCCGGCCGCCTTGGCGAAAGGCGAGTGCTTATCCACTGTACCACCCTACCACCATATTGCATATTTAGTTCATGAAGCTACGATCTGATTTACTATGGTGGGTTCCCTGTAATATATTTTGATTAACACCTGCAATTTTTCTTTATAGATATGATTTCACCGTGGTGGCCGCTTATTAGCCATATTTTAAAGAGCAGATTGACAATTTTCAGGTTTTTTAGAATTATGGTGATATTCGCCGCGAAAAAAGACTTATTTTAATGTTATAAAATTGTGATTGCTGAAGGTCTATGTTATCTGATAACAAGAGGCCCAAGGGCCTGTGTTGCTGTCCTATAGGTATTTAAAAAAGCAATGACGACAAAATCTTCTCAGTTTTGTAAATACTGCGGGGCTTTGTCTTTCTGGCCCGAGGGATGCTTTCTCTCAAATACGATTGAGATTTGTATGAATGTGTATATGGTTATAGGGTCGGAGCTCAAAATTTTCTTTGTGATTACATGAGAAACAGTCCCGAGGGATAGGGGCAGATCATGGTGCGTAGGACGTTTGCATTCTTTTCTTCGTACTCATCAAGCTTATTAGGGGTTCTCGGCCGTTACGACAAAAGACCTACGAACAAATAACCATACTTGTGGTCTGCATGATATATCCAAATACAATGGCGCTAGATAGTATTTTTCTTCAGATATTGTTGTTCAAAGTGTTTTAACTCATTTCACCCTTATGACTTTGCAAATATGCTAAGGCCATTTACAAAAGGAACGTCCAAGTCACCAACTAGCCAAATACGAGGACTCTGGGCCTTGTAAAACGCAAGAAGATTCTTATCATGCTTTGCTCATTATAGACAATGTGAACATTTGACTACGGCCAGAGATAAAATGCGTCCTTTTACTTCCAAATTATATATCAGAAAGACATTGATTGTCTACAAATCATCTGGACATTTGAACCCTGTGACCCCGAATGAACTGTAGTGCACGCTGCTCAGGATTGCTAGGTACAAGCACCACTGTTCTCTCCGTATTCACGAAGAAGTTCTACGAAGAAAGCAGTTGACGGACGGAGATGGAAGGCAGACGGACAACCGGACGTACAGACACTTTATGCCGGTGAGCTGATACTAATTTGATTTTAGTGCAAATGGTTCCTGACGTATTTTGTGTTGAGACTGTTTTACTGTCTTATTGAAACTGAAAACACAATGGATATTCATAACCAGGAATATCAAGTTTACCAGAAGGTTGGGCATGGTGACACCGATCAGAGCATTTCCCGTGATGGGACGGGATGAGGATATATTATCCAAAGCGTTTCATAAAGTTTTGAGCAGACTTAATTTGGTAGCCTATAGTGCACTGGAGTTACCGTCGTTGTGCACTGGAGTTAACACTGAAGTGAACAGGAGTGCACTTGATGTGCGACCACATAGCTATGGTTGGTTTGCTTCAACTAGAAACTTACAAATGGTGAATCGGAAGTCCATAGTTCGAGTTACCTCTGGTGTGGGCCATACATCCATCTGTCAAAATGTCTAAATCTGGTGTCAGGGCCAGAGGAAACTCGGGCTATTGGACGCGTATGCAATACCACTGCATAATTGTTTTCTTGCAGGTTCATAAACATTTAGTCACTGTTTGTATTAGGGACCCAGACAATATCGAACACTACCTTTTAAACTTTAAGTGTCCTTTACGATATATTATGTGAGAAAGAAGCGACAATTTCCTGTAAGTTTTTGTACACAAAGAAATTAAGTTCACTAATTACTACAGGGACAGGTAGAGCACCCAGAGGTGGATCGTCGTAAATTTTTCGTTAAAAAAAATGTGCATGCATACTCTTTTGAAGTTGGAAAATTTCGACCGTTTTCATCAGCCCAAACTTCATGAATATCATGAGTGTGTCGATTGCTTGTCTGTTTCTTTGTTTATCAAATTAAAACTAGAATAGTATATCATGTTACACCTAGCCTGTGATGAAGGCTTTGAGTTCTGTCCCCTGGCCGAGACATACCAGAGTCTGTAAAATTGGTAGTTTCTACTCCTGCTTAACGCTCAGCAATTTAGGAGTGGGACGACTGGTTCGCCCGTTGTCAGTATAATGTGACCGGGTAGGGCGTCCTGCTGGGTGTCTTCGTCAGTATCTTTCAGTGAGGTAGCACTATAAAGGCGGCATCAGTGTGATATACAACTATTTTATTGTCTCAAATTCTAGTTACTGCCCTCTAGTTTGGCATTTCACCAGTATGAGAAGTATTAAGAAACTCGAAAAGATACAAGAGCGTGCCCTTCGTTTTATCCACGATGATTATGTCTCTTCTTTTACTGAACGTTTGATATTGTCCAATGCAGATTTTGTTACATGTAAAAAATCTTTAAAAAAATTCTTGACAAAATTTCTCCTGTATACATCCATGATCTAATAAAACTAGTTAAGTCCACTAATAACAATCTTAGACATGGTAATGCAGCAGAGGTGCCTAGGGTTAGAACAGTAAAGCATGGACAGAAATCATTTACTTTTGAGGCTGCTAGGGTGTGGAACACTCTCACAAATGAGTTCCGTAAGGTAGACAATTTCCAGAATTTAGGAGAATGATCCACACCTGGAGTGGACCCATCTGTAGCTGTTAAATCTGTGGCACCTCTAGATCTGCTGACTGACTTTTATAATTTGAGTGCTAAAAATTGGGTGTAACATTTTTAGGTAAACAGACTGTGATATAAATTCCTGTGATTGATATGATATCTCATTTAATGAAACAAATTTTACTATTTACGTTACTGTTATTTTCCTCTCTTAATCTTATTCTTCTTTACTATATGAAATGCTATTTCATTCCACGCTATGTAAGTGTATATCATGTCAATCTTTACCCTTTGCTACAATGTATATTAGCATGTATGTATAATACACATGTACATGTAGTGTTTTAACATTCATTGTAGTAACACATCGTTCATCAATAGGTGTCAAATCTTTGAATTTTATATAAATAACCATAATATAAATAAGTGTCAACTTTTGTGATATTATTACAAAATTGTGCGATTATTTATCTAATCTTACACGTGACACTCCAGTGCATATTTTCTGTAAATGTAAAAAAATGGTCTGTTTATAACTCATTACTAAGTCTATTACATTATGTTACTGTTATTTTATATAGTTGTGTTTGTCGCAAAAATAGTTCTCAAGAGTTAATGTTCCATGTTGATATGTATGCGACTTTAAATAAAGTTTCTCGTAACTTAAAATTGTATCCTGTATCATGATTAATTTAATTTAATATACGTAGCGGCTTATTAAAATAAAACTACCCGATTAAACAAACCCAATATACATGGTAGTTACACCTATATGTATTCTACTTAGTAATACGTAGATGTAACTATCATGTAAATATTTTGAAAATTAGATCTCGTGGCACCCCAGTGATAAAAAATTCGCCACATTCCTGCAAAAAACATAAATTAATTTCAGAATTTTATACATGTTAGGAACAAAACAAAAAATCATCAGCTAAAGAAAACCGTCGGTAGAAAGTTTCGAAACTAAAATGTTTCTGTTAAGAAATGGTTTATATAAACTAAAATAAAGAACATTTTCTTACCGGATTTACCGTGCCGATTCCGCTTCAATTTTATAACCTCCTTAACATCTCGGTCACTGTAATGTTTCAGTAATTCTAATGGCGAACTTGTTATTCGTTTACGTTGTTTGGCTGTCAGTAATTCCCCTGGTAATGTATTTCGACTTTTTCTAAGAACGACATATCACTATTTAACATTAACAATTTATCATTTTGATTTTTAATTGATTTATACACAGGGAAGTGTGCTAATGCTGTTCCAAGTTCCTTTCTGCTGTCAATTTTTACTTTCATTTTCAGATTTCCCCGTTTATCACTTTATGACGTGGATATTTGAACCTGAACGCAGCTCGTTAGGTTTTTAATCCCATAATATAGTTTAGATCGACTTTCGGTAACAATATTCCACTTAGTCCAGAGACAATAATCGCTCCAATCTTGGTGATTCGTTTCTCATAGGAAGAAGAAGAAGATAATTATCCAAGTATTAGATTACTCAAAAAAAAAATAAGAATTGGTATTCCAATTATTATATACAGTCATTTATTTCTTTTATAAATTACAATTAGTCAGCATTCAATCCTAATGTTGTTGGATACTGTTTGTGGTGTTTAGTTTTGAATATGCAATCTATTGCAAGAATAAGTGATATTGTTTTTTTAAAGCTTGACCGCTGGTTTTGGAAAATGACCTATTATGTGACAACCTGTGGTCAAAAACAATCTGAAGCTTGATCTGTGTATACAACAATTTCAACTAAAATTTTCTAAGTGTGACACCTGAATGAAATTGTAAAAATAATTTTGAAATCATCGATAGCGTATATTTCAAGGTGGTGAAACTTGTACACTGCAGTCAACTGTGAAATCACATGTTTTATATATAGTCAGAAATAGAGTGAAATGGCTAATATCTCCCTATGTGTGTATGCATGTGTGTGTGCTGGAGATGTAATGTGTTCTGTTTGTAGTGGGACTGTGCTTCGAACAGTATCATTTATAGTGCCACCTCACTTGAATGTTACAGCACTGATACCGCAACATCCACCCCTGACAATTTTATACTCCGCCTGGGTTGTCGGGAGTTCTGTGGGCAGGAGAAAAACGCTTTCTCTGAATATTCCATGCCTATGACGACTTAGGGGATCAAACCCTGGATGCCTGCGTGGAAGGCCAGAGTGTTAAACACTCGACCAATCCGCCCATCATGATTGTAGGTGTTTGATATTTACTCTCAAACCTGCATCAGGGGAGATCACTCCATCTAGCAATGTATTCCAAGAAATAAAATATCTGTTTACTTGTTCCACAGAGTTCTGCTGATCTGGGAGTCGTGTTTGTAAGACCGACTGGTTCAGGAGAAGAATGGCAGGACCATTACTGTATAAACTACAACCCACATTTCCAGAAGTTACCATACCACCGGGAACAAGCGGTAATTGTATTACATACGTACATGTTTACTTTGATCTTTGAAGAATATGGTTTGAAATATTAAATTTAAGTACAACTTTATATCTTGAATTAAATTGTTTGTCCCAATTCAATAAAAGAAGATATTTCACATGTACATGTGATGTATACAAATATGTATATGTACTAGTACATCACATGAATTTTATGAAATTAACCATTCAGGTACATGTAAAAATGTAGGTAGTTTTCTAAACACATTACGGTAAGTTCAAAATGACCTTCATAAATTGTAATATTAATATCTGTAACATTTGATTTTAAAATATTTCCCCTTGTTCATTGTGCAGGTGTACCAAAGTTCAGCGCACATGCCCTAGAATATTTGTCACAACTATTTCACTGTATCAGATCTAAACATTAACAACAGTAAATAAAACAAGTTTTATCATTTTGTGTTAATCAGTCTTTGTTTACATGGATGGAATCCCATAATTTGATAGATCAATCTTATCCTATTCTCTCTATAATATTGACTTAAATTCAGTGAATATATGGTAATCAGAGGTGAGCTTGACAGGTTATTATGGTCTGACTATACACAATGCAGCTTCAACTTTTGTTAGGAGTTGCCTCCCTTAAATGTTCTAATTATTTACTACATATTTACTGGATAGAGTTAAGCACTGAGACATTAATGTGAGTTTTATTCCAGGCCACACACAGCCTGGTGGACCTCAGTACAGACTGGGGCTGTCTTGACAGCCATGGCTACAACAAGGTTGACGCAGATAACCATGTGGTTGCTGTCGCTCGCGGCAACTGTACGTTTTCTGAAAAAGCCCTCATGGCTCAACAACACAAGTCTGCAGCCCTTCTGATTGTCACCAAAAGTGTGGTAAGTGAATATTTTTTTTAATATGATGCAATATTATTATCCCCTCGCAACGAAATTTTGAGGGGATATATAGGATTCCGCCCGTACGTAAGTACTTAGGTAACACTCTTTGTCATCGCTCTAGTGACTTCATTCCTTAAAGGAATTTCATGAAACTTTTTACAAGTGTGTAGTATAACAATACCTTGAACAGGTTCCCATTTCGGTTTCTACATTGAAGGTCAAGGTCACTGTTACTATTTTTAGAAAAACTTTATCATCGCTCTACCGACTTCATTCCTTCAATGGAATTTCATGAAACTTCATACAAGTGTTTGGTATGACAATATCTTGCACAAGTTCCTGTTTCAGGTTACTGCGTTAAAGGTCAAGGTTACTTTTACTATTTTTATGCCCTCGCTATAAAATGGGGGGGGGGGGCATATAATGTTGCCCATGTCCGTCGCGTCACGTCCCGTTTGATTCAATGTAAACACCTGTCCCATTTTGTCCCGTCCTGTCCCGATTCAATGTAAACACTTAGCAACTTCATTCTTTGACAGATTTTGGTCAAACTTTATAGAAAGGTCAAGTATGAGTATACTTCGGACATTGTTGTGTTTCAGGGATCCAAGGTCAAGGCCAAGGTCACACTTGCTATACATAGAAAATCATCAACTGGTTCAATTTAAACACTTAACAACTTCATTATTTCATAGATTTTGGTAAAACTTTATACAAAGGACAAATATGGGTATACCTCTGACATCATTGTGGTTAAGGGTTCCAAGGTCAAGGCCAAGGTCACTGTTGCTATATATAGAAAATCATCAACTGATTCAATTTAAATACTTCACAACTTCATTCTTTCACGGATTTTGGTCAATCTTTATATAACATACACTTTAAGTGTAGTACCTTGTGTGTGTGCATGTTTCAGGGTATCAAGATCAAAGTGGTTGTAACTTTTTATAGAACACTGAAACTAATTTCACATGGCAGCGGGGACATTTATGTCTTATAGACATTTTCTAGATAGAAAAAAAATGTTGTCATCGCTCTAGCGACTTCATTTCCTTTTACATACGTCACAATGTGTGAATGCTAGGGTATTGGTATCACTTGTGATGCCTTGTTATAACAAAGTTTAATATTTAGCAAGGTGAGGCTCAAGTTATAATTAGGACTCTAAGATAGCTAAAACAGAGCCTTAAGTGAAAAATGATTGGTGGTGCTTATGAGGTGGTGTTGAGAATTGAATGTGCTGATTGTTTAAAACTTGACTAGGACTGAGAAGTTACATGTTATAGCCTCCCAACATCAGGGTGCCTGTGCATAAAAAACATGTCAAAAGTAGGGGGTGGGCTTATCACTGTGCTATGAGCCTGTGTCTTACCGGTCAAAGGCCCAGACTGGACACTGTGGTCCACCATTTTAGTTCCAGATAACACAGCTTACCAAACCAGAACTGGTAGTAGTTGATTGTTCAATAAACATACCGTATATGGTACATAAATGTTACATTTCAAATTGCAAAGAAAACAAATTGCCGGTAAAGAAAGTAAAAAATATATCCATGGAACTTTCCATTTACGATAGGTCACCAATAATAGATTTTACAAGTAAATCACAATTGAAACTGAAAATGAATTTGGAATGAAATAATAAGAAATGAAGTGAAATCAAATTTAATTCTGAATTATTGCATATATAGCAGTTATATTTTAGCACAACAACATATGACGTTGATAATGAAGAAATAATTCTATTCAACATTACAAATTTGCATCAAGGACCATATTGCTATCACCATTTCTGAGTCTGACATGGGTTGAGTTCAAACTCAACTACATACCTATATGTTGGTGTTACAAGCTTCACTTGAGTCTGTCTCATAAGTTAAGATATAAGATCCTGAAATTTTGCATACGGTAAACCTTCGGTCAGTTTGAACCAAACTAAATAAATATTGTCAATCCTATTTGAATTACTCATAATTATAGTCGCTGAAATAAAAAGTAGTTCAAACAATACGAGTTGCCATCTGCAAAATTCACGACAGACAGTTAAGTCGTTGATTAGGGACAATGACAGCAATGACAGCCTATTATGATATATTTGCAATTCTGTCGATGAATAATGGTAAATGTGTTTTTCTTATATTTACTTACATACTAAAAATCGATTATTGAGTTCAGTCTGCACGTAAGTGTGAAGCAGAAACAAGTATGTAGGCCGGGAAGCAGAAACAAGTATGTAGGCTGGGAAACAGTAGATGGTTCATCAAGTATTCACATCTCAGGATGCTGATTGAAACTGTATTTAGGGATTAATAGTTATTGATTTAATTGCTTAAAAAGTTTGTTGGAATTATCTGCCTATTTGAACTGATTGGACCTCATGGTATATCGTAACTGTCTAATATTTGTACACTTGTATGATAATGTATGCTTGCAGTTATATTTATATACCTGTTTGTTCGGTTGTAGCTGGTTCCCATTGCCAACATCACAGAGTACGGTATGATAAACATCACAGTGGCTGGTATACAGACAAAGGACTTCACACAGATACAGGTATTCTTTAATAAAATGTAAAAAAAACCCAAAAAAACTTGGCACTTGTTATTAGATTGTATCGACTTTCAGTCAGCTCGAGAAAATTTCTATGATAACATTATAATTACATGTCTTAAATCCTTTTTCAAAAATAACTGTCTCTTCAATTTTAGGCTATCTGAAAGCTGCTGATCTTTTAAATAAAGTTTAAGTCACCATACCCATTTTCAATATTCAATTCGATGTTTCTCTTTTACCTTTAAGTTTGGTTTGATGTCTTTATTTAGCATTTTTGTCGGCTATTTGTCGGCCCTAATGACCTATCCTGTGTTGATGGGCCGTTAAGCATTTAATAATAATGATAATATAATTTATTTTACAATAATTGTGAAACAAGTTCTACTATATTATATAAATCACTCTTGATGGATGGAAGGGTAGCACAAAGGGTTTTAGTATTGGAGGAAACTGGAGTATCGGAAAAAACCCAAATGTTCTCAGGAAAGTGACTCAATACCTTGTCACATTACATATGTTTGACAAATAACTATACTTGTTACCTAAACTAGTCTTGTCACATTTCAGACATGTGTAAAACTGGCATGAAAAGGTGACCTGAATGTGTATAGATAAGATGTATTGTTAAAATGTATGACTTTTAAGGATGAAAATACTTGGAAAAAATATGTTCTATCATAAAAATATTGGCTTTATTTTTGAAAATACATGCAATGTCACTATTGTTCTAACAACTGGAAGTTTCTTACTCGTTGTGATTTTCCAGAATATAGGGCCCAGTGTTGACCTTTTGATGTATTCCCCCGGACTGCGGGACGAGTTTGACCCCTGTATGGTTGTTCTGTTTGTACTGGCTGTCGGGTGTGTCACGATCGGAGGGTACTGGTCCGGCCTCCGACGACACGAGAGGTGAGTAGTAAGATTGTAACAGTTTTAAGTGTATTCACTGTATATAAGGGGGCTGCAGTGACCAAGTGGTTAAGGCGTCTGACATTCTGCTGCCACTAGCCCTTCACCACTGGGTCGTGGGTTCAAGACCTAAGTGGGGCAGTCGCCAGGTACTGAGCATAGGTCAGTGGGTTTTCTCCTGGAACTCTGGCTTGCCTCCACCACCAAAACCTGGCACGTCCTTAAATGATCATAACTGTTAATAGGACGAAAAATAAAAACAAACTAAACCAAACATTGTGTTTAGTGTTTTCATTTCACACTGTCAAACTTTGGTGGTTAGGTTCCTGGGGAACATATTACCCATTTTATACCTCAAGTCCTTACTGTCACACTGTCAAACTTTGGTGGTTAGGTTCCTGAGGAACATATTACCCATTTTATACCTCACATCCTTATTGTCACACTGTCAAACTTTGGTGGTTAGGTTCCTTGGGAACATATTACCCATTTTATACCTCACGTCCTTACTGTCACACTGTCAAACTTTGGTGGTTTTGTTCCTGGGGAACATATTACCCATTTTATACCTCAAGTCCTTACTGTCACAGATCAATTTGATTAACCTTTCCTGTTTTATCTACTTTAGAGTTGTTCCATAATTTAATGTAAGGAGGAGTTGAGAGGCATCTGTATTAATATATTATGGATCTGCCTACCATTCTTCATATTAAATCACTTTTAAAACTTAATGGGTTGTGGGATAATTGAAGCTCAACTCATTATAAAATGAAAGTTCCAAGAAATATAAAATGGGCACCATAGCTGCCTTTTTTTAATTTTTTTTATTTGAAATGAAGTTCTACCAAGCTGATATTAAAATTATGTGAAATATTATTATATAGTTCATTTCAAATGATATTTTTTCTGTCATTTAACTATAGGGATTCAAATATGAAGTGTGTGTCAGAAATTGGAAAAACAAATTTGTTTGCTAAGGTCTGATGAATGTGAATATGCATTCTTTTACTGCGGTAATACAATGATTTTATCTCAGGTTTGATACTTTTCTTGCAGATCTGAAAAGTCACAAAAGTCAAAAAAGAGGAAACGCAAATCTAAAAAAGCTAAGAATGACAATGACGATGACAGTGAAGATGAAGATGAGAGTGTTGACCTGACGTTCCCCAGCATCATCGTCTTTGTCCTCATGTCTTCAACGTTTCTGGTTCTTCTTTTCTTCTTCTATGATTATCTAGGTAAGTTAATGCAGTCACTTAAGTCGACCAGACCTTTTTTCAGAAAAGTAATTTCATCCCCTCCCCATAACAGTGTTAAAATGATATGTAAATCAGGTTGCCTGTTTTACCCTCGACACAAATCTGTCCTGACTACACATTGTAAAGTAGAAAATTTCTCTTGGTACAATGTAGTCAATAAAATCAAAGCAAGGAAAATAAATTTGAAAATACGATGAAATGATTTATGCATATTTTATTAATCATTGAGTTTACAAATGTATGTGACATTTTGGGACATTTAAAAAGAGTGTGTTATATATATTGTTATCTTCTTGCTACTTGTAGGATCAGTGTACCCTTGTCAAAAACTGTAACTATGCTTTTAATTTTTTTCTCTAGATGATTGTAGTTTTGATAAATAATTTCTGAAATAAAGCCCAGACCTTGCCAAATTTTCCATTGATAAAATCAACAAGAATAGATCCTATGTAAAAGGAGAGAAAAGTGCAGAGCGATCAGACTGGAATTTGAACCCCGGACCAGTAAACTCCTGTAACGATTGCTCTTACTAACTGAGTTACCTGGGCAGCTTTTGTTTATCACGATCCAAACAGTTGAACCAGTTCTAATGCTGCTTTCAGGCAAGCCTTAACAAAGCCTTACAAGGCCTGCATAAACATTTGCAAGTCCGCCAGGATTCGTACCCAGAAATGTTACATTTAGGCATTGCACTGATTTTGTAAGGCATTTATGATCTATTTGAAAATATCATAATGTCTGCTAGCACTTGTTCCACATAACCAAGCTCTGGTTGCTGGTAATTTTCTGGCCCAGTCCCATAACAATAATATCCAGAATGACAGAAAGGGGAGATTGGTCTATATCAGAAAACATATACTGTCTTGGAATTCCTTAGCATTTTCTTTGCAGCAGGACCGGGATCCTTAATCCTTTGACCCCTACATAACTTCAGTAGACTCTACCATTCATTCATCTGGATGAATCCATTATGGTCTTTAGTGATAAAAGGGTTAAATGCATAAAATTGAATAGGTAAACCTTTCATTTCAGTGTATGTGGTGATAGTAATGTTCTGCATGGCAGGGACCGCAGGACTCTTCGGCTGTATACAACCTCTCTGGGACTTCATCCCTTGTAATACCAGGTAAAACAAGTTAACGAACCTCTCCAAATATAATTACTTACGGCAAACAAAGGCCATGTGTGATTTCGGTCCCCACCTTAACCCCCTCATATATCGGAATGGTCTCCAAACTGACCTTGATATCACGCATAATCCCAAAGTATGTGTATACAAAAAATGAAACTTATTGGTGAGAGCCATCAGAAGGCCCAAATTGGCACCCACCCTTTATAAGCTACATCTGAGCCAGTATAAAATACAAAATGAATCAAAAAAAGCATGTCCTTTTACTTTCAGACTATCACTAAACAAATATATAAATTATGTCTAATCCAGCATGAAATGCAAAATTAATGAAGAAAGCGTGCATTTCTACTTTCAGACTTCCAGCAAACAAAGTACCATGTTTCTCTGATCGTCCTCAAATAAAGAATATTGTTCTGGTTCTGTTGTGTGCGGGAGTGGCCATATTCTGGGGGATACAGAGACATGAGAGGTAAGATAGATTGTGATCCGTATAAAACAGAACATGATTTGTCATTCAAAATAATTTGCGATATATTGTGACCATGCTATCGCAAATCATTTTGACTGACAAATCATGTTCTGTCAAATAAAAAAATTACAATCACATGATCACGATATATCGCAATTTGTTAATTTTCATATATAGAGTAGCTGGCAGGCAATTATTAATATAGTTAAGAACCAGGACTAACTCCTACATGACATGTAATTGATTAAGAAAAGTGTGACCTTGAAGGTTCAGTGTGATTCTGTCTCACTTTGAATCCATGACATAGTGATGTAAGTGACAAGAACAGTGGTATGTAGTGAAGACTTGCTGACTGATGTGAAGGACGATTTATCTTACCTTGGACAGGTGTATCCTCACTTTCCCCTATGTGAGATATCATCATCTGACCCTAGGGTTGAGACAGGGGGATTCCCCAGTCATAACAATTGCATGACGTCACATCAACAATACAGTGAAGTCAAGTTAAAAATACATTAATGTCCTGTAAACAAGACATTGACCCTGTAACGTCATCGTTAGATTATTTATATAGCGGCCAACAGGGTTACAGACAAACACTATTTCACCCCCTTAAGTTTGAGATCGGGGATCTTCACCATTGGTAAATGATTCTTAAGTTGCCAAACACTCAACATGCCTTGTGTTTTGCAAAATAGGAATCTTTCCCCTCAGGTTGAGATCCTCCCATCTCATCCCCAAGGGGTTGAAGTATTGAGAATAACTCTGCTGATTGACATTGCTATGGCTAGCTGTCTACCAGACCCTTATCCATTTTATCCCCCGCTTTCACCGAAACGGGGGATATTAATTTCAGTCCGTCTCTTTGTCTGTCAGCCTGTCACACTTCGTTTCCGTGCAATAACTGCATCAATGTTAATCAATTTTCTTCAAACTTGGTAACAGGATTAAATGTGTTACGGGCTCGGCCAAGTTCAATATTCAGCAGACTTTATTTGGCTTGATTAAAGAAAAATATCATTTTCTTAAGTTTTCGCTTAATAACTCTAGCAAATATTAGCCAAATTCCTTCGAACTTGATAACAATGTTTGTGTTCCTCTGTCCTTCCACCCATTTTGGGCACTCTTTGGTTTTCGTGTGATAATTGCTGCAGATATTGAGCAGATATTTCAACCAAATTCCATATTCACATCCGACTTATGCTAAGTATTTACGAATAATTAATGAGGTTAGGAAATTCTGATGGATTAAACGATTAATTTACATCGTAATACCTGCATGTTCAATAAAAAGTCTAACCTCTGTATAAGGCTTTCTTTTTTCTTTGAGCTTCAAGCTATACATTATGTCTCAACAGCACGATACTCACATGTTTAAACCTAACCTCAGTAATGTTTACCTACATGTGCAATATGTCCTGCAAGCGGGGGATATAAATCCCACAAATTTGCTTGTTTCAACTCATTCACCCCTGAAATTTTATAATGAACTATTCCAACCTTTGATTTGGAAGAATTCAAATGAGTCGTCAGGGGTGAATGATTTAATAGTCCATCTTTAGTTTAGTTATCACCCATACAATGTAGTCAATGGTCCCTTCTCCGCTGTTACACAGTTTTTGTTCACTGTTTCTTTGACTTATTACCTAATTGACAGATCTTTCTCAGATTTCTTATATAGGTTCCTGAATGACAAAAATCATTTAGAATGTGCATGTATTTTGTATTTTTACAGTTATGCTTGGGTGATTCAAGATTTCCTGGGTGTGACATTTTGCATCAATATTCTCAGAATCATACAGATGCCAAACCTTAAGGTACAGTATAACACAAAACCTTAAGGTACAGTATAACACAAAACCTTAAGGTACAGTATAACACAAAACCTTAAGGTACAGTATAACACAGATGTCCTAATACAGCACCTTGTTGTCTCGCCGCCACCAAGCGGAAGCGAGACTTAGGTGTGACTTTTCCGACGACAGCATCAACATTAAGTTTTTACTTTTATGTTAGAGTCTCTGAAAATATAAGTGCTACACCAACCACACTTGGCCCATATATGCATGTTAGGTAGTACATGTCAACCCATTCGTCAAATGCTGGATGCAGCCTACCTTTCTTGGTCCATTGACTTTGTCAGCATCTCCATCACTATTAAGTTTTTGCATTTAAGTTAGTTTCTCTGATATGTGCATTGATGATCACTGCGGGGCATAGACGAGACATATCAATCTGCAGGGCATAGTCGAGACATATCAATCCGCGGGGCATAGACGAGACGTATCAGTCCGCGGGGCATAGACGAGACATATCAATCCGTAGGGCATAGTTGAGACATATCAATCCGCGGGGCATAGACGGGACATATCAATCCGTGGGGCATAGACGAGACGTATCAATCCGCGGGGCATAGACGGGACATATCAATCCGTGGGGCATAGACGAGACGTATCAATCCGCGGGGCATAGTCGAGACGTATCAATCCGCGGGGCATAGACGAGACGTATCAATCCGCGGGGCATAGACGGGACATATCAATCCGTGGGGCATAGACGAGACATATCAATCCGTGGGGCATATACGAGACGTATCAATCCGCGGGGCATAGACGAGACATATCAATCCGTAGGGCATAGTTGAGACATATCAATCCGTGGGGCATAGTGGAGACATATCAATCCGCGGGGCATAGTCGAGACATATCAATCCGCGGGGCATAGTCGAGACATATCAATCCCCGGGGCATGGGTGAGACATATCAATCCGCGGGGAATAGCCGAGACATATCAATCAGTGGGGCATAGTGGAGACATATCAATCCGGGGGGCATAGTGGAGACATATCAACAGCAAGGCATAGTTGAGACATATCAATCCGGGGGGCATAGTGGAGACATATCAATCCGGGGGGCATAGTTGAGACATATCAACCCGCGGGGCATAGTCGAGACATATCAGTACGCGGGGCATAGTCGAGACGTATCAATCCGCGGGGCATAGACGGGACATATCAATCCGTGGGGCATAGACGAGACTTATCAATCCGCGGGGCATAGACGGGACATATCAATCCGTAGGGCATAGATGAGACATATCAATCCCCGGGGCATAGTTGAGAAATATCAATCCGTGGGGCATAGTGGAGACATATCAACAGCAAGGCATAGTTGAGACATATCAATCCGGGGGGCATAGTGGAGACATATCAATCCGGGGGGCATAGTGGAGACATATCAATCCGGGGGGCATAGTCGAGACGTATCAATCCGCGGGGCATAGTTGAGACATACCAATCCGCGGGGCATAGACGAGATATATCAATCCCCGGGGCATCGTTGAGACATATCAATCCGCGGGGCATACACGAGACATATCAATCTGCGGGGCATAGTTGAGACATATCAACAGCAAGGCATAGTTGAGACATATCAATCCGCGGGGCATAGTTGAGACATATCAATCCGCGGGGCATAGACGAGACATATCAATCCGCGGGGCATAGTTGAGATATATCAATCCGCGGGGCATAGAGGAGACATATCAATCCGTGGGGCATAGTTGAGACATATCAATCCCCAGGGCATAGTTGAGACATATCAACAGCGGGGCATAGACGAGACATATCAATCCCCGGGGCATAGTCAAGACATATCAATCCGCGGGGCATAGACGAGACATATCAATCAGTGGGGCATAGTTGAGACATATCAATCTGCGGGGCATAGACGAGACATATCAATCCGCGGGGCATAGTTGAGACATATCAACAGCGGGGCATAGTTGAGACATATCAATCCGCGGGGCATAGACGAGACGTATCAATCCATGGGGCATAGTTGAGACATATCAATCCGCGGGGCATAGACGAGACATATCAATCTGCGGGTCATAGACGAGACATATCAATCAGCGGGGCACAGTTGAGACATATCAATCCGCGGGGCATAGTTGAGACATATCAATCCGTGGGGCATAGACGAGACATATCAATCCGCGGGGCATAGATGAGACATATCAATCTGCGGGGCATAGACGAGACATATCAATCTGAATGGCTTGTTAAGATATGTCTGGTGGATGATAATTTCTTACACTTAAATATCAAATTAGCTTTAATCTATCAACCTATTTAGTTTTAGTATTACGTTGAAATAATATTTTCATTTTGAAAAAGATGTGTATAACGAAACAAAATGTTTGAGATGATATTTCTGATCTTAGTAACATGATAAGTTTAAGATAATGGGGGAAACAATTTGAAGTACAAATGAGCACATTGTAAGATTTCTGAACATTGTACATGTACAATTATCACTTGGAGGCTGTTAATACTGAGGATTTCAAATTGAAAGCTGATTATGTTTATACACCCTACTTACAGTGGCAGAGTTATAGTAATGACTGTCAGTTTGTCGGTTTGTTCGTAATTACCTGGTATACAGTAGATGAAATGCATTGTTTGTTGACCAACATGAAATAGGGATTCTAGTTGACTTCATAATGGTTTATAAAAATATCATGATAGAAATTTCTGCCTATAAACTGTGTATTGTTTGTTGACAGATCAGTGGTATACTGCTGCCTATAAACTGTGTGTTGTTTGTTTACAGATCTGTGGTATACTGCTGTTTATAAACTGTTGTGTTGTTTGTTGACAGATCTGTGGTATACTGCTGTTTATAAACTGTGTATTGTTTGTTGACAAATCTGTGCTATACTGCTGTTTATAAACTGTGTGTTGTTTGTTGACAAATCTGTGGTATACTGCTGTTTATAAACTGTGTGTTGTTTGTTGACAGATCTGTGGTATACTGCTGTTTATAATCTGTATGTTGTTTGTTGACAGATCTGTGGTATACTACTGTTTATAATCTGTATGTTGTTTGTTGACAGGTCTGTGGTATACTGCTGTTTATAAACTGTGTGTTGTTTGTTGACAAATCTGTGGTATACTGCTGTTTATAGTCTGTATGTTGTTTGTTGACATATCTGTGTTATACTGCTGTTTTTAATCTGTATGTTGTTTGTTGACATATCTGTGGTATACTACTGTTTATAATCTGTAGGTTGTTTGTTGACAAGTCTGTGGTATACTGCTGTTTATAAGCTGTATGTTGTTTGTTGACAGATCTGTGGTATACTGCTGTTTATAAACTGTATTGTTTGTTGACAGATCTGTGGTATACTGCTGCTGGCCTTGTTTGTGTACGACGTTTTCTTTGTCTTCATCACACCTCTCATCACAACGGTAGGTCAAAGGTTATATACTGTTTTCTACGTAATTAGCACCTAGTCAGTGTGCATGAAAAGTTGCTTGAAGGGGTCACTTATAAGGAGGCACGGTAGTATAGCAGTAGGATGCCGGGCTTGTGAACGAAAGGTTGCGGGTTCGAGTCATGGCACAGCACTGTGTTGTATCTTTGAGCAAGATTCTTTACTCTGCTTGTTCCAGTTTACTCAGCTGTAAACGAGTATGTGGTTGGACACTGCTAGAATTGTTGAATGCTAGCTGTGAGAGCCCAAATGGCAGCACCGGCTGTATGATCCCCAAGGAGTTGAGAAAGATATTGGCTGGTTGCAAAGGCCCTATAACCACAGATAATTATTTGTTAACCGCTTTGAGACGACCTACAAATTAGGTTGTGATAAAGCGGTATATTAGAACCTGAAAGTATTATTATTATTATTATTGTTGTTTAACAAATCATATGTAGTAAGTGACAGTTGCTGTAAAGGTGACATACCCTAACTGTTGGACACATTCCCGGAGAGAATTACTTAATTGTCTTCTTTTGTCCTAAAACACTGGAAAACATTGTCAGATTGTGAGACTGTAGTGTCTGGTACAAAGTATATATAGTAATCATAGTTTATCATACTGTGCTTTCAAGGTTTGTTGTGGGAACATTTTTCTCATCGTGAGCACTTGGGTAGAATCTCTGAGATGGCCTCTTGATTTTATCCACAGGCGAGCAATAGGTGAATTATTCTAACTGCAAACTCTGAAAACACAGTGTGAAAATCTGTCATTATTAACAAGAGAAGGCCAGTATTGAATGTATTGGGGACAGAGTTACTTGTAGCCTTCCGTAAAAAGCCTTTTAAAGGGAAAGGACATTTATTAGGGGAGGGACAAAACTGACATTGAATATGATAACATGTTACTTACTGACATCATATGACTGGAGACTGAATGCTGGTTTCCCTGATGCCATATGGTGAAGCTATATGGTGAATGCTGGTTTCCCTGATGCCATATGGGGAAGCTATATGGTGAATGCTGGTTTCCCTGATTCCATATGGTGAAGCTATATGGTGAATGCTGGTTTCCCTAATGCCATATGGTGAAGCTATATGGTGAATGCTGCTTTCCCTGATGGCATATGGTGAAGCTATATTGTGATTGCTGGTTTTGCTGATGTCATATGGTGAAGCTATGTGGTGAATGCTGGTTTCCCTGATGCCATATGGGGAAGCTATATGGTGAATGCTGGTTTCCCTGATGTCATATGGTGAAGCTGCATTGTGATTGCTGGTTTTGCTGATGCCATATGGTGAAGCTTTATGGTGAATGCTGGTTTCCCTGATGCCATATGCTGAAGCTATATGGTGAATGCTGGTTTCCCTGATGCCATATGCTGAAGCTATATGGTGAAGCTATATGGTGAATGCTGGTTTCGCTGATGCCATATGGGGAAGCTATATGGTGAATGCTGGTTTCCCTGATGCCATATGTTGAAGCTATATGGTGAAGCTATATGGTGAATGCTGGTTTCCCTGATGTCATATGGTGAAGCTATATGGTGAATGCTGGTTTCCCTGATGCTATATGGTGAAGCTATATGGTGAATGCTGGTTTCCCTGATGGCATATGGTGAAGCTATATTGTGATTGCTGGTTTTGCTGATGTCATATGGTGAAGCTATGTGGTGAATGCTGGTTTCCCTGATGCCATATGGGGAAGCTATATGGTGAATGCTGGTTTCCCTGATGCTATATGGTGAAGCTATATGGTGAATGCTGGTTTGCCTGATGCCATATGGTGAAGCTATATGGTGAATGCTGGTATCCCTGATGCCATATGGTGAAGCTATATGTTGATCGCTGGTTTCCCTGATGCCATATGGTGAATCTATATGGTGAATGCTGGTTTCGCTGATGCCATATGGGGAAGCTATATGGTGAATGCTGGTTTCCCTGATGTCATAGGGTGAAGCTATATTGTGATTGCTGGTTTTGCTGATGCGATATGGTGAAGCTATATGGTGAATGCTGGTTTTGCTGATGTCATATGGTGAAGCTATGTGGTGAATGCTGGTTTCCCTGATGCCATATGGGGAAGCTATATGGTGAATGCTGGTTTCCCTGATGGCATATGGTGAAGCTATATTGTGATTGCTGGTTTTGCTGATGCGATATGGTGAAGCTATATGGTGAATGCTGGTTTCGCTGATGCCATATGGGGAAGCTATATGGTGAATGCTGGTTTCCCTGATGTCATAGGGTGAAGCTATATTGTGATTGCTGGTTTTGCTGATGTCATATGGTGAAGCTATGTGGTGAATGCTGGTTTCCCTGATGCCATATGCTGAAGCTATATGGTGAATGCTGGTTTCCCTGATGCGATATGGTGAAGCTATATGGTGAATGCTGGTTTGCCTGATGCCATATGGTGAAGCTATATGGTGAATGCTGGTTTCCCTGATGCCATATGTTGAAGCTATATGGTGAATGCTGGTTTCCCTGATGCCATATGGTGAAGCTATATGGTGAATGCTGGTTTCCCTGATGCCATATGGTGAAGCTATATGGTGAATGCTGGTTTCCCTGATGCCATATGGTGAAGCTATATGGTCTTTATAGACAGGTTATAATTAAAGAAACAAGTAATGTCTATATTTAAATAATTAACTTGGTTTCCTTCTGTTTGTTATAGTGATGTTTTACTCGTGTTTTCCCACTGGGTTGACCATACCAGACACAACACATTTCAGTGTGTTTGATATTTTTTTTTTTTTTTTTTTTTTTTTTGCGTCTTATAAGTTATGTTAGATGCATCTCTTTTAACATCAGTTTTTACAGCCAATTTTTAACTTTACCCCTAAAGGACTAAACTTTTTGATGTGTTATAAAACAATACAAATACAATGACAGAATCATCAAGCAACTAAAGTGAAGTTTATTTGTTTACTTTTCAGTCGGGCAAAAGTATCATGGTGGATGTGGCCACCGGAGGTTCTAGTACAACAGGAGAACAGGTAAACAGGCTACTAACTATTGACGGGAGACTCAGGGATGTATGCTACCTGTCTGTGAAATGTATCTCCTATATAAAAGAGTTCCACTAATAGAAATAAGTTAAATGAATGGTGATCTGGGCCCAGTCGTCCAAAGCCTTATAATACAGTCAAACCTCGTTATCTCGAACTCGTATAACCTCGAAGACCCCGTTTAACTCGAAGTATTTCATCGGTCCCGGCCAAAACTCTTCTTAATCTTACTTATAAAAACTCTGATAATTCGAACTCTGAAAACTCTAAAAACTCGGATATCCCGAAGTGAAACATCGGTCCCAACAACGTAAATCCTACATAAAAATATCTTCTACCTCGAAGTTTCTTAACATTCACAAGTCTATCATATATTCTTTAATTCTACGGTAAACATCGTTCTCATAGAGCAGCTTATGCTCGGTCATAATTACTTCGATTAAGCTTATGGCATTAAAATGTGTTTGAATGTAAAAACACTTTGTACAAATAAAGAAACAAACTTCATCAATGTTGATTAACAACAATTAGTACTTACTGCGAGCCCATAAACAATTTGAATAGCACTTTATTTACACCAAAGACTTGGCACTTTCATTTCCGCATTGAAATTTCTATCAGCATAGCACGAGGTCGGAGACAGCATGTGTGTTTATTGTAACATTAATTAATTAATGAATATGAGTATGAATAAGTTGTATATTTTTTATTCTATATAGTTATCTTTTTGTCATTTATCGACTGTTTAAATACGTTGATTGCCAGAGAAATCAATGACATATAGAGCCTCATATTGGAACTTTACCAAGCTTTATGCCAAACATAGGAACTCGCTTATCTCGAATACTCGTATACCTCGAAGTTTCCCAACGATCCCGTCGACTTCGAGATAACGAGGTTCAACTGTATAAGCTAATTAGGATGTTATTTAATGTAAGCGCCGGTTTTCAAAAACAGCAACTTTTCTTTTTCAAAAACATCTGAAAATTTACAAATATTTTTGTGTTTCCTTTCTTCAGATGATCTTTCGAATCTGTATACGATCACATATAAGTTAAGTTTTAAATTCAGTCTTCCAAAAAGAAATAAAAAGAAGAGATGACAAGACAGCATCATGTCATCTCTCTTTTTGAGTTTTTATTACTCTTCTGGCCGGACTGAATTCCATTTAGGAATCCATCATCTTAGGTACGCAGAACTTCACTTAACGTCCACTAGTGGACATTGGATATCATTTTCCCTTGTATTTCTTTGTAAAAATTGTTCCGTTGTATAGAAATGCCAACATATTTCATGATAATACGAGATCAGAAATAACATGTAAAGATGTGAGACTGATTACACTGTAGATGATGTCCAGCATTGTACGTTTATCTGATATTCAATTTGAAATCATAATGTTCATCACTATATTTTATTCTCTGAAATGTGCTAGGTTTTCTTCACAAAAACTTAATGATCTCCGTACCACTGCCAAAAAATGAAAATAAGTGTTGAAAACAGTTACTTTCCATCATGACTATAGCTTTGATACCTCATTTCTAAAAAAAATTTAAAAAAAACCCAATCTTTCGGGACTTTTATGAGAAATAAGGATGGATTAACAAAATATGATCAGTTCTGAGTGTAAAAAAAATCAGTGGACCCAGACAGGAATTTGAACCCTGGACTTCAGAGTGTTGCTCCATCACTCGAACCGATTGAGCTACCTTGTCAATAGAAGTGTCCTAGGCCAACTGTGGTACAGGTTATTATAATCCAAAAGAAAGTTAAGGGGGCTACTGCAAATAGGAAAAACTTAAGTGCAGTGGGACAAGGATCCTTAAATTCATGATTGAGAGAATGCTACTGAAATAATGATAGTGAATATCTCTGATGTTACAGTCACAACACATAACATTTTGTGAGGAACCTCCTCTAAAGTCAACAGTAAGATTAATCTCTCACAGAAATAAAGTCATCTACAGTACTAGTTTATATCGAGGTTATTTGTAATGGATTCCAGCAGACGTTTATCCTGGCATTCTTGAAAATGAGGAGAAAGGGTTATCATCGGAATCAATTATATACAGTGTAAATGACATTAACCCTTTCACCAATGTAGACCATAATGGACTCATCCAGATCAATATAAGACAGAGTCTACTAAAGTTGCATAGGGGTTAAAGGGTTAATTAAAATATTAGGGCCCCACAAAATGGATTCCTATCACTACCAGGAAGTGTTTCTACTTGTAGCTACCGATGGTGTTCGCAGTACCGCGCCTGACCCCCTCACCTCTAAATGTTTGTGATCTGCCCATGTCCCTTCTGGGCTTTGGGGACATCATTATTCCAGGTATGTACTGTTTCAGGGTCGACCATGAACTTCATGAAGGTGTTGGGGGTAGTCTTATTGTCTTCAACAAATGGTCATAGGGAGTTATTTCTGGTTTAGCACACACCCTTCGTTAAAGAAAATTTTATAATTGTGGTGATTTTTTTGTTAATTTTTCATTGAATGAGATAATGACATCAGTACTTAACAGGAGTATAACATGTAATTGATTGTTTCTGGATGATTTCTAAACATTTTCTTCAGGTTGGTAAGTATCTTTTCACCATCTCTTTGTTAGTTGTTAACTAGCCCTCATTTCCTCTGGCCCTGACACCAGACTTACACATTTTGGCAGATAGATGTCTGGTGTGGGTAAGCCTGGTGTCAGGGCCAGATGAAACTCGGGCTAGTTCTTAACATTCCCATTATAAACTGTTATTGTCATAAATAATACAAAAAAATAATTCTTTCATCAGATTTGTGAATGTGCTTCAGAGCTGCACAAATTTATTACCAGCACATTATACTAAAATTCATTAAATCCTGGCTGAAAATCCTGAAACATGAAATTAACATATACCATTCAAAAATATGTCGTCTAAAAGTTGAGTATTTGTATTGTTTCATGCAGAAATGGACCATAGTGGAGTAATGTCAAGTCAAGAAACATTTTTTTTTTTTAATTCTTCTCATAATTTTGGCTAGCATAAACACTGGACACACATCATGATTAACAAGTACATTGATATTGGTGCATTATAACATTTTGTCATGTATTTTCCTGTTCTAACTGTAACCTATGTCCTTTGTTTTCTCTTGAAGAGTGTTATATAATTATGTTGAATTGTTTTCCAGGTCTCCTTGTCGGTTTTAACCATGGTATAGACCTGAAGGTTCAAAGTAGAAAGGTTTACTTTACTGCATCTGTGATAGGTGAGTAACTCTACCTCAAAAGGGGACAGATCAAAGGTGTGTGTGGGGGGGGGGGCTAGTATTAAATGAATAAAATCCTTTTCCTTTAGTATGATTTTAGGGATTTTAAACAAATTTTGTGTATACCATCCTTGGGCAAAGGGGACTCAATTTTGTTTAAATTGAGAGTTGCTTTTAGGGACCAAAGGGGTGGGCCCAATAGAGGAAATTAAGGTTTATGTTTAAAATCCACCCCACTTCATAGGGGGAGAAAGAAGGGACCTAATGAGGGACGGTTGTTGCTGAGAGACAGAATCAATATTTAGAAATAGTTGCAGTATTACATGTAAAAAAATATATTCCATGTTTGCTTCATTATCCAGGTGAGCAATACAGGCTCTCTGGGCCTCTTGTTTGGTTACCTTATAAAAACATTCAGAATAATTTAAACGATTGTCAATGATGTGCTGATCAAGCGACTAACCTGAACATGAGACTGTAGGTTAGGATGTGATATAATGTAGTCGTGTGACCAGTGAATAATTTTACATAGGATTATGGTCGCCTTCTAGTTTCACATTATTGGGAATTTCCCTTTATCTCAATTGGTAGAGCAATGGACTGGAATCTGGGGGTCTCGTGTTCGTTCCCCGACGGAACCACACTACTCTCTAGCCCTGACACCTGACTTAGACATTTCGACAAATAGATGTCTGGTATGGGTGACACATCTATCTGTCACAATTGGTGTCGGGGCTAGAGGAGACCCCGACTTACTACTCTCTATTCTTTTACAATATTATGTGCATGTCAGATAATGAAGATTTGGGGTGAAAAGATAGAATGATGATTTATTAAGTGACTCTATATTAATTTAAATGTGTTTGTAGGTTATGGTGTGGGGCTGCTCTTCACCTTTGCAGCCTTATACTTCATGGAGACTGGCCAACCAGCTCTCCTGTACCTTGTGCCTTGTACACTTTTAACAACAATGGTGATTGGCTGCTGCCGGGGAGAGTTCAAACTCCTGTGGAATGGTGATAAAAAGGTGAGATCCTCAATTTTTAACAGAGAGGTGTTTGCCACTCAAAACCGAGTCAGGATTCATAAAACTGTCCTCTTGCTTAAAAAACTCCTGTGCTAAAAACCATCTTTCTGTATTTTAAATGAAGTTGCATGATTGGGGTAGACTAAAATTCTAACAGTAAGAAGGAGTATTTTTAGCACAATGTCTGAAAGTACTCACAGGGATCTTTGTCAAAGGACTAGGGGCATTAAGGGTCATTTCTGGCCTCATCAGGGATTTAGAATTGGTTGTTTTAGTCATAATCTGGAATTCATGAAGTATGCAGATATGAAATTTTAAAGTCATTCGACAACTGGTTTAGGAGAAATGGCATTACAAAGAGAGACATCAACCCACATTTTCATAATAAAATGCCTGAATACTGTCTGTTGTTTGAAAATTTGCTATTTTTAAGGAAATTTATTAACACTCTTCAATTTTTGAAAGCCTCTGCAAGCACCAAACAAATAAATATTTGACATGCTTAAACATTGTCATACCAGTGTTCATTTGTAAGACTTTTTGTTTGTCTCATGCGGGGGCTTTCATTTCTGCATGCTAGCTGTCCAAAAACACCATATCTTGGCTATGCAATTTTTTTTGCTATGGTAGGGCATCTACGAATGTGCATAGGAAAAAAATCAGAAATTGGTTAGAATTTTTTATGTTTTTGTTTAGGCCAAAAATGACCCATAACGCCCCAAATCCTTTTCTATGTATGTTGTTCCCCATGTTAAAAATTTAATATTTCTGTTTATTATTAAAAGTATCTTTTCCCAATTCAGTGCCCCAAGAAGGATGATGATCTTCGTGACGACACAACAGAACATGTCATTCCGGCTACGGTACCTCAATCCAACACTGATGACAATGATAGCATCCGAATCAGCATTTCAAGTTCCTCCAGTACCGATGAACTGCTTAAATGACTAGGATGGAACAGGCGAGGGGATAGCTCTGTTCTCAGGAGTGCCAGACAAGGGGAGGCATCATTACTTGGGTTTGGTAGAAGGTCGAGAAATATGGAGACCAGAGGACTCCTCGAAGACAAGATCAGTGATGATGAAATATATAATGTTTGATGATGGGATGGATGGCAATCTCTGTGTTAACAACATTGTGTGTTTATCGTCTTTTTGTAGATCAAACTGTCGGCATATTCAGAATCATAGACAGTCAGGAAGAATTCATAACACTTTGTAACTAAAAACAAGTTTATTATTATACCTTATTCACATAATCTGACTTGTTTGGATACAACAAATAATGCAAAAATATCAGCTCATTTAGAGGAACTGGCAAGCGCACAATCACCATCAAATCTGTGTGAGAATTATTTTATCAACAGATGTGAAATGTTCAAGTTCATATATCTTGAGAAACAGTTTAATTTATTGCAAACTCCATCATTTAAGTTCATTCAAAATATTAAAAAAAAAGACCAGTGAAAAACCGGAACACCTAATATTTTGCGAAAGTGTGATTGGGGAGTTGCTTTCTCCTGGTGGATAGTTTCTAAACTATCCACCAGGTGATAGCATTCTTTTCAGACAGTTTGGTTCATTAATATATCTTAATAAATATACGTTGTATAGGAGATGTTCTTACATTAAAACATAATATATTTTGCTCATGTGATAAAGTTTTAGTTATGTTATTCACTTACAATATGCACTATTGGAACTTTCAATACATTGTACTTTGTTTTACTTGGTAGCAAAGGCTAAAACTGTTTTGGAAGTCTCCTCATGAAAGTGGAATTATTTCATTGTTCTCAAACATAGAGTAGACTAGATTTTGAAGCCCTTACATGTAATTATATATGGCAACCCCCACATCACATGTCTTGATACAAATCACATATATGGACATATACACATCACACATGTGTTAATACACATCACAATATTGACTTCCCACGAGTCCGTTAGAATGTTCTTTATTCTGAGTGAAACACTGCAGCAATGTTGTTCAACTCATTCACCCCTGGAGATTCATTTGAAATCATCCAATTCAAAGGTTGGAATAGTTCATTATGAAATATCAAGGGTGAATGAGTTAATTTTGCTCACTGAATGTTATCTCCCCTTGGGAGAAATCTGAAAAATGTGAAAGTTCTCGTAGTGTTTTTCTATCATAAGAGGGTTGCAGGTTAATACCTCAATACTGTCTGCTTCTGGTGTTATTTTGTTGTGTACACAAAATGAAAATATTGCTTTATAAAATATTTTTCTTCACAAACATATTTTTCCACATGTATGTTGTTATATACAAAATTATGTTGAACAAAGTAGGTACTTTGTTAAAAATAAACTTAATGGTGATTTATATAAATTTTGATGAGCAGAGCTGGACCATTTTGTTGGGAAGATAATAAACTTAATGGTGATTTATATAAATTTTGATGAGCAGAGCAGGACCATTTTGTTGGGAAGATAATATCCCAGTCACATTTATTGTGAGAAATTGAAAAAAAGTTGCAAATAACAAACTATCTTGATGCTTTTTATAATGGCCAGTTTAAAAAAAGTATGTTAAAAATTGTTGTTAAATTATTTGCTTGGAAGGGCAGGTTAAGTGTAGAAAGCAAATACATATCAGATCCTAAATTATCAGGAATATGTTTTAGTGTGCTATCATATTAATAATAATTTGAGGTTCTTATATACCGCTTTATCACAACCTAGTTAGTAGGTCATTTCAAAGTGTTTACAAATTATTATTTGTGGTTATAGGGCCTTCGTAACCAGCCAATATATTTCTCAACTCCCTGGGGAGCATACAGCCGGTACTGTCATTATGGCGCTCACAGCTAGCATTTAACAATTCTAGCACTGCCCAACCACGTACTCATTTACAGCTGAGTAGACTGGAACAAGCAGAGTAAAGTATCTTGCTAAAAAGTACAACACAGTGCCGTGCCTTGACGTGAACCCGCAACCCTTTGGTCACGAGCCTGGCGTCCTACCACTGGACTACTGTGCTATGGTATTGTGGACTGTGTAAACCTACTTGGCGATACAATTATACCTGAGAGCTTCATTGTTTAATCAGTGTGATAGGCTTTCATTGGTTGATCAGTGTGATATGCTTTCATTGGTTGATCAGTGTGATAGGCTTTCATTGGTTGATCAGTGTGACAGGCTTTCATTGGTTGATCAGTGTGATAGTTTTTTTGTGTACAATTTTAATTACTGCTGTGTGATGGCATGGCTTTGAGCCTTGCTATATTTATTGAAAAAGTTTGCAAGAGAATGAAATAATGTAGTATTTTTATTGTTGTCATGATTAAAATTCATGTGTACTTTTGTTGTTTTAGAAATTTGTTGGGCCCTATTCACTAAGCCCTGGGATTCAATAAAACTTGTTCATACAAATGCATGTTGTTGTGTGTATGTGGTCAATTTCGTTTTACATGTATTGTTTATTAAGAAAAAAACAGCTGTTTAATAGCGAGGCAATCCGTCTCAAATTTTACATTTGTTTTGGTTTTTATGCCTCCACCATTAAATGGGGGTGTATAGTGTTGCTCACGAGTGTCATGTTGCATCGTGATTCAATGTAAACACTAGTTTCTCCATTCTTTAAACATTAACTATATTGAATACCCCTAAAATTTCATAATAAACTATTCCAACCTTTGAAATGGAAGAGTTCAAATGTGTCTTAAGGGGAGAACAAGTTAAACCTTATACAAATGTCAAAAGTATGCAAATACATCAGATGAGTTCATGATTTAGGATGTTAAAGACAAGGTCAACATTTCTATTTATAGAAAATCACCAACCAATTCAGTGTTATCAGTTAACCAGCTTTATTTCCTGTCTCTGATTTTTAAGGTTCGGAGGTCAAGGCCACGGTCACTAGTACTGTTGCTGTATATATAAAATTATCAAGCGATCAAGTGTCATCACTTCAGCTTCTTCATTTCTTAACATTTCTTCATCAAAGTTTTTTTACAGATTTTAAGTATGAGAATACCTCAGATGGTTCATGTTTCAGGATTTCAAGGTCAAGGTCACCATTGCTTGTTTGACTGACTGTACTAGGAGATGTATGGTGTACTTTAAGATGCCTAGTAATTCCTTACTGTGGGGTGAACTTTAATTATGTCCCCTCGAATGAAGGGAGACACATTGTATTAGTACTGGTTTTTCTTCTTCTTCTGGTTCTTGTTCTCGTTCTTGTTCTGGTTCATCTAATCGCAACTTGTCCATGTCATAACTTTTAAACTGTTAAAGATATCTTGATGAAAGTTGAGGTATACCTGCATCACCCACAGAAAGTGTGCAGTGCACTGAAATAAGGTCTCTTGCCCCACTATATACAGAGTTATGGCCCTTTGTTAGCTCGCCTGGTCCGAAGGCGTCCGTCGTCCATCGTCCGTCCGTCAACAATTTCTTTAAACGACTTCTTCTTCTTAACCACTGATTGGAATTCAACTAAATTTGACTGGAAGCATCCCTAGGTGGTGGGGATTCAAAATTGTACAAATGGTTGGGCTGACCCCCCAGGGGGCTGAGGGGCGGGGCCAAAAGGAGTCAATTTGGCTATATTGCTTTAAGCGACTTCTTCTCTGGAAATAACGTCAACCATATTTTTTTGGAAGCATCCCTAGGTGTCAGGGATTCAAAATTGTACAAATGATGGAGCTGACCCCCCGGGCTAAGGGGTGGGGCCAAAAAAAGTGTATTACTTGGAAATGGTTGAGATCCCCACCATATAACCATGGTATACAATTGCTGAGTATAAAGAGAAGAATGTACATTTGCTTTCAGGATGGCTATAGGGTCTGGCCCCACCCTTGGAGACATAGTCCCTGGGCCATAACTTTAAAACTGTTGAGATCCCCACCCCAAAACTATATATATAAATGCTGGGCATAAAAAGACGAATGCAGTCATGATATCCAAATAGACCCTGGTGTCTGACCGAACCCCTAGGGACCTAGTTTGTTAGTCACAGCTTGGAAACAGTTGAGAGCCCCACCCTATAACGGTATATACAATTGCTGAGTATAAAGAGATGATTGCACATATGCTTCCAGGATGGCCTTGGGGACTGCCCCACCCTTGGAGACTTAACCCCTGGGTCATAACTTCAAAATGGTTTAGATCCCCACCCCAAAACTATATATACAAATGCTGGGCAAAAAGAGACAAATGCAGTCACGATATTAGAATTGATCCTGGGGTCTGGCCACAACCCTAGGGACCTAGTTTCTGAGTCAAAGCTTGGAAACAGTTGAGATCCCCGCCCCATAACCATACATAAAATTGCTGGGCATGAAGAATCTAATACATGTACAGATATGCTACAAGGATTGGCCTTGGGGTCTGGCATATTCCCTTGATCTCATTCGGAGAATATTTTGCCATGATTGCTTTGGTATCCAGGTGAGCGATACAGGCCCTCTGGGCCTCTTGTTTATTTAATACCGAAGATTGTCAGGAGCTTAAGTTCCATGTTATTTCACCTACCTTGACCAAACTTACCATATTTATGTATTTTGGGAAGGTGGAATCTCTCGCACTAAAATCGGGTTTTTGCCCCACTATACACAGAGTTATGGCCCTTTGTTTATTTTTAATATCAAAGTTTGTCCACGGCATAACTTCCATGTTTTTTCATCTACATTGACCAAACTTGCTATAGTTTTAATGTATCTTGGGAAATAGGAGTGTTGCATTTTAAATTCGGGTCTCATGCCCCACTAACGAAAGAGATATGGCCCCTTGTTAATATTTCATACAGAAGTTTGTGTATTCGCTAATAAGGGGAGACATATGTTTTTGTTCACAAACACAAGTCTCTAGTTTACGATGATTTTATAACGGTCCAGTTAATAGCACCTTTCAAGATTCCAAACTGCTATTCAAGTTATTTTGATGTCATACCTTGCTATGGAGTAGATACCCCACAGTTGATTTGGTATAACATGTTCTTTTCCAAGAATCAAGATTTTCTGGATATTTGCATCAAGCTCTTGATAGATAATAAATGTTACATAATATTTAATGACACTATGACACAGTTAAACCTGTTACTTACAAGAGAGAGGAAGTTTACACGAATGCCAATAAAGATCATGTGTGCAGTACTTTTTTTCTCTTGGAAAGCTTTGCTTTGGTTCCATGGAATTTCTTTTTCATTTCATTATGCAGACTCGCGTTTTGTTTCTTGATATCACAAAAAACCTTTTGGTATAATCACTTCAAACAGTTTCAAACTCATAAAAGGAGTATCAACCACTAAATTCAACAACACTGACAACCACCAAGAAACTCTTTATATACACGCTTGTTTCCTGTGATATTTACAGTA